TTTCGTTTGCTTTCTTTCTCTTTTATAGACCACCTCCCACCTCTAGTATCATGACTGAACGCTTTTAGACACCTATTTTATCCCGAATCTTGCCTTTAAGCGAAAGGTTCACTTAATACCTGAATCGCTATATTACTGCTAATGAATTATTTCAGATTTAGTGGAGGCTGGAACCTTGTAATTTTGACCAACATTGGGGCACATTTGTGCCACCTTGATTTGACGAACGTGTTGAAAAAAAAATCGCTAAGACCATGTTGTACCGGATAGAAACTGCGCACCATTGACTCAAATAAAAATTCGGGGTCTCATCCAGTAAGGGGGGCATGTGGTGCGACAGTTCATATTGCATGAAGTAATCCACTTTTTTCAGGGGAGGGAAGCTCCGGGGTGGGTGTAAAAGTTAAGCGAAATGGTTCACGCACCCCGGGGATTCCCTCCCCTTGCAAAAATTGGAATTTCTGTAGCCGGCAAGAACTGTCACACCACATGCCCCCTTACTGGATGAGACCAAAATTCGTTCCATTCGTGGAAGAAAGCCTGTTCGGTTCGAACTTAATAGGGGTATAACTACTTCAGAGAATTACTCCGTATCGAATCGGGCAATCCTCTGTCGAATTTTCGTAGGCTGTCCTAACTATTACATGAGGGTATGTCTTCATAGGGGCCCTCGGATTCCATTCCAGGACAACCCGAATAGGCGATAGTTCTAGCAATTTCTTTTTCGGAGCCACACTCACTAACTAATGAGCTGCTCTAGCGCTTATGTAAGAATTACTCTAGAGCAGATCGCCAGATTGACGAGTTATCGTTGAACTATTAGGTCATGGAATTTCAATTAGAGTGAAACTCATTCTTTAAACGGCTCTCACCTAAAAGTTCGTCAAACTGTTGTTGTACATGAGTTTAGCCAAAAACTCTAAGGATTTGTGAGGTTTTGACCATTCTAGGAGTAGGAACATAGTTCAAATAGAGATTTCGAATGAGCCTTGATTAGAAGCTGTGCCTAGTCATTAAAAAAGACTATTTTGCTTCCTATGCCGGATTGTTTTTTTACTTTCCCTGTGTTCCGGATTCTTTACCGTTCCTAGGCGGCCATAGTGTATGAAGCACAGTAACCATGGAAGGAGTTTCCTTCATTACTATGTGAAAGCAAGGCCAAAGCTTCTGATTTTTGTGTGAAACTTGTGAGTCCTGACCTGGTAAGACCCGCCTCCATGGCATTTCTTTCTTCACTGTTGGGGCTTTGACCTGCGAGAGTTACCCTCTTTTTGAAAACGGGAAAGGGTAAGAAGAGATAAAGAACACTGCCTCTTCCAGTAGTCTCCATGTCGTCCTTTCTTGGAACCTCGGCATTTGATGTTAAATTTGCTGCAATTGTGTTTTGTACTGTATGCCAAACGAGGTTTTTAAGATGGAATCTTTATTGACTGGCCTGACGTTTCGACAGCTTCGTCTTCTTCAGAGGCCTGGAGATAGTCTGAAGCTTTTGATTCGTTAGCTACTCGATCCACCGCGCACAGTATTCTTGACGTCAGAGAACGTCGAGAATACTACGGCAGGGTGAGTAACGGTTGAGGAATTCCTTGACCA